TCATGAGAGAGGATGTGGAATGATCAGAACTCTCACACGCCACTCATGGACTATAAAATGGTGCAGCTGATAGGGGAAGAAATGTAGCAGTTGCTCAAAAAATATTAAAGGTTGGATTATAAATAATGAGCAGTTTTACTTCGGGATACATGTCTGAAAAAGAAGGAAATTCTAACACAAGTGACAGTATGAATAACCCTTGAGGATAGTGGTCTGCACAAAAAGAACAGGACTGTACAATTCTGCTCCTCTGAAGCATCTAAAATGATCTCATTCATAGAAACAGGAAGTTGAATAGTGGTTGAAGGGGAAGTTGCTTATTGGGTATAGAGTTTCAATTATTCAAGATGAAAAGGTTTTAGAAATTGGCTATGCAACAATGTGAACATAATTTACCCTACTGAACTGCACACTTAAAATGTAGGATGGTAGCTTTAACATTTATATATATTTTACTGACAACAAAGTCCAAATACATTGAGGGGGAAATATGTGCAAAGAACTTCATTGCTACTTTTAGAAACAACTTTAAATGCTCTTGGATAAATTAACATTATGGTGTATCAGCTTAGAATAACATGAAAACGTTAAAATAATTGCAAAGAAGTAAATAATAAGATGGAAAATGCTTCCAAAATGTTTACCCATTTCACAAATATCTATGAGAAAGGAATGTAGCTCCTTCATTAAGAAAGTCATCCATCCGACCCCACCCCTGGGGTATGCTGAGACAGCAGTTGAGACTGGGCATGGTGGCATGCGCCTGTAATCCCAGCTCTTGGGAGGCTGTAAACAGGCGGATCATACAAGTCTGATCTAGTAGTAAGACCCTTAACACCCTGTAGACCCTTCCCTAAAAAATACAAAAAAAAAAAAAGAAGAAGGTCATCCTGTAAGTGAGGAAAGTTCATCCTATAAACTGAAACCAGGACCCTATCCTGGACACCACAGAATCTCCAGCATGCTGAAGAAGACACTCAAGAAATATTTGTTGACTGACTAGAAAGGCTAACACCACATACGCAAAACTCTAATTCCAGGGGGGGTCCTGATTTAAAGATAACTTATTCATTAAAACTCTACAAAGGCCTTGGGTCTTTAAAACAAGAAGAAATCATTGAGGCCAACAGGGAAAGAAGAGCTCCTCAGAGGAGATCACGCACACTCATTTCCTGAGGCCTGGCAGGAAAGAGCGGAAGGAAGAGATGGGAGGGGTTGGCAGAGGGAAATGGCACTGGGGTGACACCCCATTGGCCAGCGTGTCATCCAGTGCCTGCCCAGGCAAGTGGCCAGGTCTGCAAACCACAGGATAACAAGAGAGATCACTGGGCCTGCCGTGTCGGGCGCCCTGGAGCCCACCCAGCCTCTTGAGCCGGGCTTACTGACCCTTGACCAAAACCTGTAGTTGGAAACTGGTCTCTAGAGCTTTGTTTTGTTGTATGTCCCAGTGGTGAAATGCAGGACTGGGAAAGAAGCTTCTGCTTTTGAAAGTTATGTCAATTATGTTGATTTTAAAATAATGATAATCATATTATATAGTGTACAAATCTGTGTTCTTGGAATAGTTTAAAATATAAGTATAGTTCACAACTTACTTTTAGCTAAACCATTAAATGAATTTTAAGAGTAACCTTATGCAGAAACATGATTTTTTTTGCGGAACTGGGGATTGAACTCAGACCCTTGCGCTTGCCAGGGAAGCGCTTATTCCACTGAGCCATCTCCCTGGCCCAGAAACATGATTTTTAAAACAATGCATCGTGTGGTAAATACTCTTACCCTGAAATTTATTTCACCTACTATTCTTATGTAGGTATCGTCTTCTACCAGGAATTTTTTGGTGTTGCTTTTCTCACTGTGTTTATATATCTATTTGGGTGAGTAAATGCCTCAGAGGTAAGGTATGTGAAATTCTATTACTTTTATATAGGATTTTTGGCATTGTATCTGAAGTAGAGAAAATTGGAAATAATGTATGAAGCATCAGTTTCCTGAGCTCTTAAAAGAAACATATTTTTCAACTTAACACCCCAACCAGGGTTCAGTGTCTCTGGCTTTGTGATTCAGGCCCCCGCTGAAGGTTCTGAAGCCTTAGGGATTTTCATTTCCAGCCAACATCAGGATAAGTCCACTGGCCTTGAAGCCACTCCACAGCCTTGTCATGCTATATCAGACCTACCTCACTCTTGGGAACATGAGATCTTAGGTCTAGGTGCATGAATGCCTCTGAGGTCACTGAAAATAAAAGGCCAAGGTTGGGGTTGAACCTTAGCTTTGGACCTAATAACCTCAGGTTAGTAGTACACCTTTCTTGTGTTAGCATGCACAGCTTGAGCCCTCATAGAGATTTGGTGGGCATCATCGCTGGGATTGCTGGCTAGCAGAGAGCAGAAGCTTGACAACATCCCACCAGCGTGTAGAAGCTTCCATTGGCTCCAGCTGGCTCTCTGTTAACATTATGCTGCTCCTTGAGACACTATTCAGTATGGCCACTGGTATGCAAACTCGAGCCTCATCTATTTTCAGCGTAGGAAACCATCTATCTTGAAAATTCAATTTCATAAGACACATGGGCGAGGCCAGACTTCTGGGGTCTGGAAACTATGACTACTCTTATGGCCAAGGACAACGAGATTTCTTAGAAAATTAAAGAATAAATTGTTTTTTCACTCATGTTGCATGCCAGTAATGGGTCTGGGCATGCATGGATAGAAAACGAGACCTAGTGTCTACCCAAAGGGTTTAGAGCCTGAATTAGTCTCCAGCTGGTAAAAACCTGGAGCAGAGATTTATTGGGAGCTGCCCAAGTAGTGGTTCTGGGTACAAATATTATTGGCTGCAACAATTAAGACAAGTTCTAGGCAGCTTACCATGAGAAACAGGATAAACAAAACTGATGGAGTTTATGTCATCATGTAGAATATGGGGCTCAGTTACTTAATACCATAAGCTGTTTTGGTATTCCTGTGTTCTTTATTAATATTTTTTTACAGGTGCTTTCTGTCATTCCTTGGCGTGTTTTTGGTCACAAGAAATCGAGAAAAGGAACATCTGCAACAGTCCTTTATTGATTTTGGAAATATTCCTGGTAAAAATATATACTTCTCCTTCAATTCACAATAGAAAGTTTTATCCCTCTAATTGAACAATTGTTGGCATTACTTTGGGTGTTAAGTTAATATAAAACATAATTCTTACCCTCAAAAAAAGGACATTTACCGATGAGGCCAGAGGTGATATTTTGAATGTAAATGTTAGGTTTTGAAATGTCAGTTTTGCACAGAACACTGAGGCAGTAAAAGAACTGATGATGTTTTCTTGATCTGGAGGATTTCTATTTGGGGCTTCTTTAAAGTGTATAGGGAGTAGGGGAAGCCTTGAGGCCTGATTGCCTGGATTCCCACTGTGCAGAGGGAAGGAACAGCGAGGGGCTTGTGCTTAGGTGGCTGAGGAGCAAAAGACTGAGGTGGCTTGTGATATCATCGCAGTCATCCCTCCTCCTTCCTCACTCGTCCAGCTTAAGCCAGTATGCACAGCTCTCCAGGCTCATGTCTGCTGAGAATTCATTCACTCAGTCATGAAACCATCTGCTAAGTCCTTACTGCCCATCCACCCCCAGCAGTCTCTCGCTTTCTAGGGGTCTGGAGTGACCTGCAGGTTTCCAGGAGTGGAGAAATTGCCAGAGCCCCCATCCCTACCCTTCCGTTAGCACTGTGCCCTGGAACCAAAAACCTCTGAAATTTCATCCCTAAAACTGAGAAATGAAGGCTCTGGGAAGTGAAGTCCTTGTCCTCTGCCACCTGAACCACCTTATCAGCCAGGAGCACTCAGGGCCAGATTTGGAGGATTTCTATTTTGGGCTTCCATAAGATGTGCAGAGGTGGGGAAGTGTGACAAGGCTGTGCATTATAAGTGGCTTGTTCAGAAATAAAGCTTGGTGGGAAATAAAGTCTATTTGTTCTTTAACTCTTTTCCATGTCACCAAGCAAGTGAGCGCTTCCAGGCATCTCCTGACCGGGTCAACCTGATTTCCACTCCTCAGTGCAGCACACTATCCAGTGACCTGGAATTCCAAGGGCCTTTACTTCCTTGACATTTGTCTTTTCTGTTTAGAGGGCGACCACATAGTATTTTTTTTTTAAAGGAACAAAATGTGACCTAGATCGAACAGAAAGTATTAGGACTTTTTCTTCTGTAAGAGCGCAAAGGATCTTTTATGTTACTGTCTCCACAGGGAAACAAACGTTGGACAAAATACAACCAGATTCAAATGGCTTATCCTATGGAACCTTGCCTGATGGAAGTGACTCAACAAAGAGCCAGAGCGGAGAGAAGAAAGAGGTCTGAACTGCCGAGAGGGAGAGCTATTGGCCTGTTACTCGATACCACCTTTTTAAAAAATTGCACATGTTCAATTTGTGTCAGCAGCTATTTCACGCTGACATATGTGAGCATTCGTTTCAGTCCTTCCCCCACTAGGACAATCAGAGCCTTCCTCAGCTTTGACAGTCTAATGTTTGCATGGAATGTAATTCAAAGTGTTCCCCACACCCTGGACCTCTCCCTAGCGATCATCTAACTGGCTAGATCTTAATTACGGCCTGGCTGCTCCAGCAGGGATATCACACAAAAATGTGCCTTCGCAATCTGGTCGTAGAAGGCATAGGTTGCCGCTCCCGTGTGGCTTGTAGAGTCTGGTGCTTGGCTTTACAGAAAATGCTTAACCTTAATACGCAGTCCTGGAAGGTTTGGAGAGCTCTTGGTTTTTTTCTAGAGCAAGCTTGTGTGAGCCTCCCATATAGAACTCACCTTATTCCAAAGTTAGGATGGCAGATTATCTCTTCTGAACACTAATGCCACTAACATCCTCCTTTGAAAACAAGAGTCCTCTTTAAAATTAAATTTATAAATAGGACCTGGGATGGTGTGTACCAAAACTCTGTGATACTGGATGGTGGGCTTCTTTAAGCCTAAAATTGGGAAGTGTAAGAAGCGGGGCTGCACTCACTTCTGCAGCACATAGACTAAAATTGGGACAAACAGAGAAGATTGGCATGGCCCCTGCGCATGGATAATGTGCAGATTCATGAACTATTAAGAAAATATTAGAACTGGTGTTTGCTTTTTAATAAAAGTATAAAATGGCAACATTTTCTTCAGTTACATGATCCTATTGTACTTGAATTAAAAATGAAAAATTTGGTGTCCTGTGCTTTGAAGTGTGGTGAATCTTATAATTAACAGGCATTTTAACTCTTCAGTTAGAGTATCTGTGTGTGTGTGTGTGTGTGTGTGTGTGTGTGTGTGGTACGACATCCCCAACCCATTTTTATTTTTCATTTCGAGAAAATCTCACTAAATAACTCGTTCCCTAACCTGAGCTTGAATGTGAGGTCATCCTGCCTCGGCCTCCCAGAGTGCTGAGATTACAGGCATGCACACTTTGCTCAGCCGAGAGCCTTAGTGATACTTATGCTACGTACTGTTTCTTCCCTAAGTCATTATGGGAACTTTGTACATTCTTCCAGAAGGCAAGAGTTATGGTTAAAGAACTAGGTTTCAGCTGCTTACAGCTGTGGACACGGAACACAGCCAGCGTCAGGAGGAGATGCAAGTGTCCCTGTGCCTCAGCTGGCTCTCCCATTTCAAGTCGTCACACGTCTACTAAAAACAGTTCATGTATAGTGTGTCTATTGTTAATAATCTGCCTAATATTTAAATAAGAAGAAAAGAGGGAAACTTCCCTGTCATCAAATAAAAACCCCTATCTTCAATGACATTTTAAAACCTTCGGGTCTCTCTTGACATGCCAGTCCTATATTGTTCCAGCCACTTGCCTTGCACTTGTCTAAGGGGTTCAACTCAGAACTAGTGAGACGGTCATCATAATCACTTCAGTCTTCTGGTTTGGTCGTTGTCAACTCCTGAACTCCTGTCAGCCTGGCCAGATCTGGCCCCAAAGGATGGAGTTCTGAATTCATCAGAATATGTGAAAAATAACCAAGAGCCCACTTGGAGCTTCTGAGCCCCTGACAAGAACTCCTGCCATTGCGGAAAGTGTGCCATCATTCAGATACAGTCGTCATATAATTGACGGCTTGTTTTACTGAACGGATACAATATGTTGACACTAGCAGTCTCAGCTAAGAAGCGCGTCTGCTTCCTTCCACTGCAGGTTTCTGGTAAATCTTGAAACCATTTTCAAAGACCGGGAAGCATTCAGATTAAAGAGTTTTACTTGAAGTAAGACCACACATATCACTAGAGTGTGTGGTTTTGAGCCATGTAGAATTTCACACACATACACACACACACACACACACACACACACACATACACACAAGTACTTTCTTTAGTGGCCACCAGCCTTTGCCTCTATTAAAACTTTTGAGAAATGGTGCTGATTTATGCAACCCAGTAGTGCTGTAGAGATCAGGGACCACATAGAATATATATTTAGACCGAAGTTTACTTTTCATGTCGCTGCCTCAAACTAAGGTGAGTAGTAGGGATTTTTGTTTAGTCCTGGTTTGCAGGACGTTTCAAAGTGCTCAGTACATGACATCAACCAAAGCCAACCCAGTCCTCTTGGCATTGTTAGTTGGGGACTTCTAGCCAACATTTGACTTCTCTTAACTACTTGTCTAGACTGGGAGTTGGCAAACTTTTCAGTAAGAACTCAGTAAATATTTTGGGGTTGTTTGTCTGTACACTGTCTGTCCCAACTACTCAAATTCTGTCATTGTGCACAAAACAGCCATAGACAATATGTAAACAAGTGAGCATGGTTGTGCTCCAGGAGAATTTTATTTCCAAAAATAAGCCAGTCCATAGGCTATTGTTTGCCAGCTCCCCATGTAGACAATTCCGTCCATGCTCCGCAACTGTTTTCCCCTTTCTCAGGTATTGAAGGGTTTAGAAATAACACTTCATGTTGGATGAGACACAGTGGGAATGTGGGATCGTGTCTTGACATTTATACTCGGAATTTTTGCTTATGTGTAAAAGGGAAGTGATGGGTTTATTCTCAAAGTCTGGCTTTCTCTCTAAAAATCAGTAGATCTTTGGTAGACACCACCAAAGGACTCTCAAACTCCACACTCTAACCTGACATCAACTTTGGAAATGACCTTTTTAAAGCCTTTTGTTGTTGTTGTTCAGTTTAGATGTTTGCTTGTCCTGTTGCTGTAATACTTTCATTACTAGAATCCCTTGAAAACTACTACAATAAAAAATTTCTCAAGCAGTGACTCTGAATGAAACCTACAGAGAGAGAAAGAGAGAGAGAGAGAGAGAGAGAGAGAGAGAGAGAGAGAGAGAGAGAGAGAGAGAGAGAGAGAGACCTGGACAGATCCTGTCTGTTAAGTGGCAGAGAAAGAAGTGAAAAAGACGGACTTCATGCATGGATTAGTGCGATTTCAGTACAGCTACAGAGCAATGATGATAACATGCGAGTCTGGCTGCGCAGCCGGCAAGTGCAGTCGCGAATGACTCAGATGGGTGCACACACTGAGCTGGGTTCCTAAAGCCAGGAGCCCTCTTCGCACTCTGTTTCCAAGCACACAGCACATCCAAGGATAGCGAGTGTGCACGCTCTGTGACTTTTAAGTGCTACCTCATGCTTGCCAATTTAATAGTAATATGATGGACATAAATATAGTAGTTACTAGATGAACCTCCCAGCACCCTCCCAGACTGCTTTATGTAAACTCCACGGCTGACTATTGAGACATCCTTGAGCTAGAACAGCTGAAAACCTAATGCGTGTGTTTGGCACCGGTGGATGCGAGTCCTTTAGTGGAGTGGCTAGATAAACACCACACATTGTGAGCTATTAGAACAAGATCTCAAAATTGAACCCAATATGATTGTGTGGGGAATTTTGAGGCTGCTTCTAATCGTTGGACTCATCAACAGTCTGGCTCTTATTATGGCCATTTTGAAGTAAAAAATTAAATAAAATTCTTCACAAACATAGTTTCCATGCAAATACAGACCAGTCTTGGGCTATTAAGCATGGGGTTTTAGCAATTGCGGTAAATGCAAGGAAGAGACTTCCTACCCAGGAATGCTTGACTTTGTCCCCTTTTCTCACCAGCCTCAGGGTGCCACACAACATGCCGTCCTGTGCCAGGAGAACAAATCAGTTACAGGAGCTGTGGCCAATGAAGGAAACACTTTTTTTTTATTATTAGAAAGGGCAGAAACTCCTTCAACATGGGTCCTTATTGAGAGTTAATGAGTCCCAACCACAGTGTAAAAGAGGGCTATCAACTTCAGTATCAAATAAATGTGGTGTTTTGGGGTACACCAGCTGGGCCAGACATTGCCAAGAGTCTCACAGAATTCCAGGCAAGATGCAAGATAGTCGCTGTGTTCCAGGAAAGAATCGCCTTCCCAGGGAGTTGGCAAGTGCGTAACCGAGAAGGAGCCGGTCCGTTCCTGATGGGCCCAGCTTGCATGGACCAAAGCCACTTAGCACATTTGAGCTGCTGCTGTCCAGACGTGAGCCAATCCTCCCAGCACGCATGCATCCCACTCCACAGCCTTCTCCTCCATGGTTCTAATTTGAAAACCAACCTCAGAAATGTCCTGAGGCTGGGGCTCTCCTCCTTCTGTCCAGAGCACCTGGCCTAGACCTTTTCTGTCCCGCACGTGAACAAGGAGATGCAATGATTTGAGAGCTTGTGATCCAAGGACTTGACTCTTAGGGTATTTGCCTGATTGTAGGCTACTCACCCAATCACCAAACTTAACAAATATTCATGAATTTACTCAAAACATAA